TTTTGAGCGCATAGCCCAAATTTTACTGTGAAATTTTAGTACAAATTTAAGTTTAATTAATTTTTCTTAATACGAGAGGATTATCAAAAGTTCGCTGGGTTGACCAGAAAAAAAAAACAAACAAAAAATTCTTTTGTATTTATTCGCAATCTTTGCCTTTCTTATCTTTCCTACATAATTGCCTGGGGTGTTATGGGGTGTAGTCAATCTTCTGGGTATCCTGTTACAGTTGCAAGTCTATACTCAATTCCTGCTCTTACGTCCAAGTTGCGCACCCTGGAAACGTGAGCAACCTTTGTGCAAGGTGCGGTAACCAATCCGCCTGGAGCCTGGGCTAATGAGAGAGGAAGCTTCAGTGGGGCCACTCCGACTTATTCGGTTTAAGGATCTGCTGAAGTTTAATTGCAGCGTCTGTTCACTAGAGGTGCGACATTGGTCTTGAAGCAAGCGGCTCACTTTATAAATGTGTAAACAAAACTTTCAACTTATTCGCCTAGCGAGGTTGTGCGCTGGGACCCGCCACTTAGAAACCAGCTCCAATGAAAAATGCAACAACGCCTCGGATGAGGTACCCTGTATGTTGACGACACCCGCAAACGAATTAAGCATCACGATTTGAGGGCATGCACCAGGAATGTCCGGTACCTTAATTGGAAAAGTGCCACTGCCCAGCTGGTTGATGTCCTCGTAATAATATAGGCTGACATACCGCCGTCCAAGAAGTGCGATGGTCGGACAAGGACGAAAGCGAGTAAGTTCTTGTGACATTTACTATAGCGGCCATATAAAGGAGCGCAAACTCCTGTGTGTGTGGATTTGTGGTAGAACAGAGACTCCGTCCTCGAGTATACAATCCGCATCAAAGCGAAATTTTACAACAAATCTCTGATTTGCGCCCACGCTCCGACGGAAGAGAAGAACGATTTGGCCACAGATACCTTTTATGAGCGCCTAGAGTATAATTACGAGCGCTGCCCTGACACGACGTGAAAATCGTGCTTGGCGATTTTAATGCCAGGTGGGCAAAGAAGGTATCTTTGGCAAGACTGTTGGATAATTTAGCCTTCACAATGAAACATTCCCTAATGGGTTGAGGCTGATCGACTTCGTCGGGCCCCGAAATATGGTTGTCTATAGTACCAGATTCCATCACAAAAAAAAAGCATTAAGCTACTTGGCTGCTCCCTAATCGAAAAATGGAAAACCAGATCGATTACGCTGTGATAGACGGAAGACATGTCTCCAGTGGTCTCGATCGATATCTTGTTGCAGCGCATGAGCCTCTGTGTATCGACAAACACAAGGAAAGTTCGACGTCGAAAAGCTGCAATCACAACAGACTGCCGAAAAATTTTCTATTTGACCTCCACTCCTGCTCTCTGAGAGCACTCATCAGCAACTCGGTATACGGGACCTGTGGGACGGAATCGCAAACTCCCTGCCTTCAAAAGAAACCATTGGATTTCGTAAAGGTTGTAAACACAGCTGGTACGATGAGGATAGCCTTGTCGCAACGGAAAGAAAACAGACTGCCTACCTCGCAACCTTGCGATCGACCACAACACGTGCGGGATCGGATAGATAACGAGAGATGAAGAGAGAAGTAAGACGCATCTGCAGTCAAAAAGTAAGAAGGCCGAGATGCGTAAGTATGAAAAAAAATTTTACGAGAAGATACGAGGACTTACAGAAAGTTTCAAGACCGAAGCAGACTCTTGTAGGGCACAAAGAGGTGATCTAATCACCGATGCCAAGAGTATACTGAATTTATGTAGGGAACACTTCTCCAACTTGCTGAATGGCATTGAAAATGGAGATGTTGAACCCCAAACCCCAATCGATGACGATGGAAAAGACGTTCCATTACCTTGAAGAAGTTCGAATAGCCATCGCCCGCTTCAAAACCAACAAAGCAACGGGATCTGACGGCCTACCGGCAGAACAATTCAAACATGGCGCTGAAGAGCTGACAAGGTGCATGCATCAGCTACTTTGAAGAATATGGTCGAACGAAAGCATGCCCGACGATTGGAGTTTAAGTGTGCTCTGTCCAATCAATAAAAACAGTCTGCGCCAATTACCGTGGAATAAGCCTACTTAATATCGCCTATAAGGTCCCATAAAGAGTATTGTGAGGAAGACCGAAGTCCACCGTCAACAAACTGATTGGACCTTATCAGTGCGGCTTCAGACCTGGTAAGTCAACCATTGATCAGATATTCACCATGCGCCAAATCTTGGAAAATACCCATGAAATGAGGATCGACACCCATCACCTCTTCGTCGATCCGACAGCATGAAAAGAAGCTGCTTTTACGCCGCTAAGTCTGAATTTGGTATTCCAGCAAAACTTATAGGGTACAGAGCCGTACGCTAGACAGCACCAGAAGTGCAGTCAGAATTGGGAAGGACCTCTCCAAGCCATTCGATACCACACAAGGTTTCAGACAGGGTGACTCTTTGTCGTGTGATTTCTTAAATTTGATGCTGGAGAGAATAATAATAGCTGCAGAGCTGAATAGAGAAGGTACAATGTTCTATAAGAGTGTACAACTATTGGCGTACATCGATGATTTTGACATTATCGGCCTCAACAACCGCTCCGTTAGTTCTATTTTCTCCAGGTCTGATAAACAAGCGAGGCGAATGGGTCTGGTAGTGAACGAGGACAAGACGAAATATTTCCTGCCATAAAACAAACAGTCATCGCATTCGCGACATGGTTCCAACGTCACTGCTGACAGTCACAATTTTCAAGTCGTAGACAATTTCTTCTATCTAGGAACCAGCATCAACACCAACAATAATGTCAGCCTTGCAAAGTAAAGTTCTCTCCCGAGGAACGCAAGCCAAACTCTACAAGTATCCGCCGGTGGAAGCAGAGCAAGGGGAAGAACCCCACTCCATTCGAAAGACCGGGTAGAGGAGGACCTGGCTGCAGTTCTGAAAACAGTATTTTTTTACATTAACAGCATTAATTATCTCCTTGTTGCTATTAAATACATTTTTTTTAATTTTTGGAAATAAACAGAAATTACAAAACGCTTTATCCACGGAATAAGTTGCTGGACGTATTTCTTCTATGCCAGAGATCGCAGTAAAACTACTCGCTATTTCAGCAGCGTTGAATGGCACGTTGTCGTCATGTTTGAAGTTACCGTCTGACCCTTCGCCAGTGGAATATCAGCTCTGATTTGGATTGGGTGAAGTAAACCGACATCATTACTTTTGCTGCTGATTATTATTGCTTAGAGTTTAGAGGTGGTTCTAAAATTTGGAAGGAGGACTGTAATTAGAAAGGATTTTGTGCTTTTAGATTTAACCAAAACAAATTGAAAGTCACCTACTGACCGAGCTTTTGTTGATCCCCTTGTAGATATCAGAAATTGCGCACTGAGTTTTCAGAAGCTGCTGAACCTCTCCGATATTTTAAGTCTTAATCAGAATAAGTGGCTCCTCAGTTGTATCGGATCATTTAATTCATAGAAATTAGAAAAAAATTTTAAGCTCATGGAGGACCTGATCGCACTTAAGTCAATGAGCAAGCTGATAAGATGCCCATGTGTAGGCCAACTAATTGTTAGCAAACTTGTTTTAGTATTTCTATTCATGTATTCATGAAGGGCAGCATCTTTAAAATATAGCGATCTGGTCGAACGACCTGATTTCTTTGAGGTAAAACATCAGAGGTGAGTGACATGTGGTGCACCTCTTTTTCTAGGTACGCAGTTATAGGGATATACAAAATTCCTACCCTTGGAGAGATGTGGTCATCGAATACAGTTAGCCTTGGGTCAGAGTTAAATGAGATTGAGCTTAAGTAGACCCGACATATGGGGTTTAAGAGTGGTCGGCCTTAAATTAAATGGTTCGCTATATACGTATATGTATCTTAAGTTTAAATGCAATCACGTTGTTCGTTGGGCTTGGTTCGTAGCATGCAGAAACGTGATCCATTGAAAAATGGACATTCGACTCGGCTGAGACCCCGATTTTCAACAAGACCGTGGCTTAGGACTATGATTTGAGAGCAGGCTTCCGAATTATCTCGTCCCGTAATTGGGAAGGTGTCGCTGTCAAGTCGCCTGATGTTTTAGTAAGACTAAAGGCTGAAAGGAAAGGGGCTGGAATGCCAGAGCTTAAAAGGCAGACCGACGAGGGTAATAAGTAAAAATTTTATGAAAATAAAGATGACTTTAAGAAGATTTCAAGATCGGAACATACTCATGTAGAATTGATATAGACGATATACTAACCAATGATTAGAGCATATTAGGCACGGGAATACCTCTACAGCAAATTAAGTACGGGAATACCTCTACAGCTCCTACTGTAGCGGGAGCGCACGAGCTACTCACATAAATCGCCAAAGACTATGGGACAACGGACCAATTCATTCAGCGTCTCCCAACAGACTTAACTTTGTGTGGTTGCTGCGAAAATAAATACTATATACGCTGACTTTCAAAATGTCGTTTCAACCCAACTAAACTCATGCACTCAAAACTGAAATTTTTATCCCTGCAAAATCCGCAGAAGCGATTTTCGGCCGAGCTCTTCCTTCAATTTGCGGTTTTTGCGTCTTGATGTTTTTTCCAACAAATGTAGTGACCTACAGTTTATACTAAAGCTCCTCCGAACGGCTGATGGTTTTTTTATGAGGAGCTTTATTTCATGTCAAAAATACAATCGCATTCCCTACCGAGGGGCGACAGCAATTAGAAAATTTAGCTTGCTAGCCAATCGGCTACGGCGGCCGCATTAACACTCACTCATGATGCTAGAATAACTTTTAGTGCTGTATTTAAAAATAACCTACCACAACAACACTTAAAAACATCTTATCTTTTACAAGTATTTATGTACATAAATATTGCTTTTCGTGGTGAAATAAGACCTCCTGAAAATTGTCTAAAGCCTGCGAGGCTTTATAATTTATATGTGCAAAAATCAAAGAGAAGAAAAGATAAATATAATATTTATGGTTGCAAAATAATTACCGATAAACTGGCTTCGGGTTGGCATAGGCCACGCACGGTACTACAACGGGATCGCCCAGACGCGCCACCACGCTTGTGGTCTTCTCATTCATGATGGGCGGCACGAGTTCACGCATTTCTGTGGAAACCGTACAAAGAGAAGAAGCAGAGAAAATAATTAATGAAATATAATAAAAATTGTACAACTGCATTTGTACGATAATAAATATTTACATTAAAGAGCAATTTGCAAATAAAGCGTAAAATGCTAAGAATTCGAAGTAAATAAAATTGAACTTGAAATTTATTAACAGCAATTGCGTTAATTTATATATATGTATATTAGCATATATATGTATGTATATGCATGCAGGTCCATTTACATTGATATTTGCGGCGAGCGAACGTGAGCCTTTTAAGCATTTCGAGTGCACACTTATGGCGGGTATTTGCATCTATGTATGTTGTTTCCAGTATGCCTCGAAGCCAATGCTAATTAATTTGACGATATAATTAACATGCCGCAGCATTACCAAGTCCACAATCGGTGAAGTGAAGTTTGTGGTCACCTGCATGTAGTGTTGTTCAAGAACTTAGCAGTTGCTGTATCTGCTTTACTAAAAAAGCTTTGATTTATTGTTTATTACATTTGTGTTGCTGAAAATCTTGTGAAGACTTTTTATTCAAAATTTATTTAAAGAAAAAACATTATTTTTCTAGGGTTCTTCCCCCACAACTCAAACTTCACCAAGGAGTTTAAGTAATTATTTATTTATTTTTTATTATTTAATTTTGTGATCTATTGAGTCTTTGTAATACAATAATAATAAAATACATACTTAAACCTAGTATAAAGCAAGTTTAATGAGTTATGAGTAAAAAGTTTAAAGAATAGAGCCGAATCGAGCTCTCGCCAAAGCGAAAAACGATTCAGGCTCCATGATATTTAAACAGTTCTTTAAACAAGATAACATTTCTAATAATTAGATCTGTGAGAGCTCTGGACAAGCCATTAACCAATTTATGATGTCAAAAATAAGTTGCAAAGATTGAAACATCACATGATGGATTTAAGAGCATACAACGGGTGGTCATCAGTGAACTGAATTGGAGCAGGAAGAAAACGAATAATCCAACGTTGGACCTTTTAGATCTAAAGGAATGGCTAGGACAAATTCCATTTCTGATTAAGTTAGCATACTCCAGCATTGAACGTACTAGGAATATAGAATTTAAGGTGTGTAGAAATATTTGAAATCACCACCATATCGCCGTAAGGAAGTAAGGTGAGTATTAGCTTTAGGAATGGTACAATAATTCGTATCAACGTTATTATACCATTCATGCACAAAGACAATAAAAATTAAATGATTCACTATAGCGCTCATTTGCTTTGCATTGTTTTGGGATTTTTCAAAAACTGTAGCCTTAAAAATTGTAAGAAAATACAAGATATTAAAGTGTAACTGGTCCTTTTTTCCGTTCCATTCCGTTATTTTAGAGAATAATAATAAAAAGCTTTAAAATTTTTTTTAAAAATAAGCTGGTGTATTAAATCAATCTTGACAAGTTATTTACATAAATCTTCTCAAAGAACCACTCTATATATTAGCGGAAGTTTCATGAAAACCCTTTCAGTTTTCAGGTTCCTGGAAATAGATTGACAAACAAGCGCAGAGCGTGATGATATTTTCAAAGATTTGCGGGCAGAGGGTACAAGTTGATGTTCATGATCTATCCAAGTCTTTCAAAACTATTCTACTTCTTTACAATTTTTTGAATAAGCCAAAAAACAAGTTCCAAGCCGTTTTTTCTGCCTCGATCATAAGGCTTGAGGTTCTTGCAATATTGCAGGACTCAAAAGTGGTCTATGTGCCGATCGATGGATGCTCCTATTGGGAACGTTCCTTTCGGTTAATGCCAGTTATGCTTACCAAACCAAAATTTTAGCAATATATAAATGTGGAGGGTACATTTGAAATGTGCAAACTGCATGGGTATGTCTATAATTAGTTTTTTTTTTTTTTTGTGTTTTTATGACGCTCTCGCCGCATTTGGAAGTTTACTACGTTCTTTACCGTTGGTGTTTTTATATCCTAATTTTGAGGTCAGAAAGCTGCCGTTTTTTAAGTTTCTATTGGTGAAACATAGTTCTTATAATTCTTCTTAAGCCATTACATTTTTAGAACGATATCTTTTCCCAGCATGAAGCAGTGTAAAATTTAAACTCGAATTGTTTTAATTATCAAATTTGAAATAACAAAGCAAGTGTCACTATAAGAACAAAACTCAAAAACTTATGAATCAAAATGAACGGAACTTTAACAGATTTCTTTTGAAGGTTAATATTAACTGAAAAATCGATGAAAGCAATAAAACTAACGTCATATTACTTTTACTTTTATAAAATTTGTTTCGGCTTAATTAAATGAACATTGCCCTAAAATTTTGACTATTTTGTAGTAAACATGTTTGGTTAGTCTTGATTCTGAAAGTAATTTAAATTACATTCCATGATATGTAATTGTTGAATTTCTCAATAAATGTTGCTGATGTATTGCGCAGTACTGTATGCAGATAGAATGCCACTTGACAACCCACTGCGTATGAGCAACTAATTATTGCATATTATTACAGAGTTGCTATAAACTAGCAATTCAAAAATCGAGGGTAGCGGAATGGTTTAATTAAATGCTAAAAACACATTATTTATATATATGTAAATAATTGAAAAAAAAATAATATTTTGAAGGAATTTGCATAGCCGTCAAATAGCAATTTTTTGTTATCTGCCTATATTACTCGGTACTACATTTTAAATCTTCTCAACATACACTCTCTATGTATATTCGTTTATTTGAGATATGTCTTTTTTCATAACAATCACCCAAGCATATTCCTTTACTTGACTGCGCCACCTAGTAAATACCACGCGTTGAGGTCAAGCGTGCAAGGCATCGGCAATGCTTCATATTCTCTACAACCTCTATTAAAGTTACCCTACTCTGCGTTGTTGTTATTAATGTTGTAGTTAACTTACCAGTCAATTGAATTTTGCCCATATTGCTGCTCACAACGGAGTCCTGCGTTAACTTGTGATGAGTGCGGCAGCGATAAACTTTGTGCGCATCGGTGCGTGTGATGTTGTACACCAGAAGTTCGCCGGTCGGTAACATGTGATTTTTACCATCTGAAAATAAAATGAAATGAAAAAATACAAATATGTGAAAAAGCATATAAAACAAAATTGGCAAAACTGTTTCGCTTCAGTGCAAATGTCGAGTGTAATAAATTTACTTGTTTGTTTTTAGTTTTGCTGCTGTTTGTCTATTTGTCGTTCACTCCTTTTTTTGTGAAAAAATACTTTGCTACATTTGCCTTCAAACAGATAATCCTTCCTTATATGTGTATATTTAGTTGAGGAAAATAACGAATTTTCAACATATAACTGTAGGTTGTGTGAGTTAGAATGTTTTAGAATTCACCGTTGTCAGAAGTCAGTTGTAGCAGCAGTAGCCACCAACGAGCTATCGGTGTCGTGTGTTGTCTAACGAAATGACACTTAACTGTTGCTACCCAGCTGTTATTTGTTGCTCCCATAACTTTTTTTTTGTTGGCGATTCATTAGATTTAGCAGATTGGACAAACTTCAAGTTTTTCAAAAATTAAAGTATAAAGTCGAACATTTCTTTAAAAATAATGAACTAACTAAACCAATGAAAGAAAACTTGTTTTAATGAGGACAGTGTAATTCAAAATCTTATAGCCTGTAGATAATACTCTCAAATTTCTTGAGGGACATAAAATAAGTGCCCTCTTTTAAGTGCAATGAATTTGCTTTCTTGTCGAAAAATTATTATATAAATAAATATATGTATATATAATGGGTGCTCTGTTTTCACTGAAACGATTTTCAACCGAGCTTTCCTCCAATTCATAGTGTGCTTCTAGATGTTGTTTTATTCTATGCCGCCGTATGGCCGATGAATTCTTATTAGGGACTTTTACTTGAAATCATAAATAAACTCAAACGGCTTGTCTTTTTTCCTTTTTCAAGAAATTCTGGTCTTTTCATTTCCTGATGGGAAAGTTGTCATTGTAAATTTGGACAAATTATTTGCATTCATTGTAGAGAAGAAATTGAAAGCTTGACTAGTAAAGCACTCCGAATACAGAATTACCCTTGCTTTGGAATAAGGGATATGTCCTAAAATTCTGCATTGACTTGTCGTAAAAGCGATATTATTTTAGGTTCTGGCATGGTGAGTGACACTAAAGAAGAAATTCCGCATTAAGTTTTTATATAAGTTGCAACGTAAATAAATATATCAGCTGCAGTAGGAGAAATCTTCTCCGATATCATACGAGTCACGTGAATGAGTAATGTATCAAACCATAGTCTAAACCGCTGACCACAGAAACCCCAAAATTGGAGTGTGAAGTTTTTAAGTGAAGTGCACCTGGAACCTATCTATTTGCAAAAAATGAGATTCACTTATATCTTTTGGCTTACTAAAATTACGTACAGCAGTTGTTTGGGCATGATTTTCTATTGGTATTTTTATACATATATAAATGCATTAATTATTGCAAATTATCTACTTACCTCCTTCTAATGATGGATATATATTGAAATTTGGCTCTTGTAGCCATGATGTTACCGTTACATACTCCTTTACAAATGATGGTATATTACATTTAATTAAAACATTGCTGCCAATAAAACCGCCTGGATTTTGAACTTCCGGTTCATAGCGTTGATTTACAACTGTAGATTAATAGAAAATAAAGGAAATACTTAAAAAGCGAGCTATTTTTCTCTTAATATGTACAAATAAATGTACACATAAAATGCTTTAATTACATAAAAAATACAAACGATATTTAATACTATTTATTTGTACTTTACAGAAAAAATATTGTAGTTGAAAATTTATTTGCGCATGTGTTTGTGTGCATGTTATTTGTTAGCTAATTCGTGGCATATATTAATGCTGAAGGCACTTTAATGGCGGAAGCGAAAAATAAAATTAATATTTACAAAGTGTTGACATTTTAAGTAAATAAACATTAGGCTGCTTCCATAAGGGCTTATTCATATTTGTTTATATACACATGTTTTTTATTAATTTTCCAACATTTTTTTGTCATTGAAATTATGTTAATAAAACAATTTGATAGCTCAATCGATATTATGTTAAACGAAGTAAAAAAATAGCTTGTGGAGGCTCATATGGCTCATACAGCTCATATACTAAGATATTCTCTTTCGATTCAATCTAGTCCAATATATCGAAAAGTTCAAACAAATATAATGTGTGCATTCCCAAACCAGGGCAGAGAACTCGCTTTTATATCGAGATGAGTTTGTTTCCTCTTATCAAACTATAGAGACGATACTGTATGTCGCTAGATAAGAAAAAACGAATTTGTAGGTCATCACTTGAGGAAGTCGCTTTCAGCAGAAAGCTAAATACAATCCAGCTGATTTGTTCTAATTAATGAAGCGCTAACTTTGCCTCTTCCTAAAGCTCTTGAAACTTCCTAATTTTCTTGTACTAGACTTCTACCGTAGATTTAATACGAGCTGTAATGCAATTCGACTAAAAGAAGCTCAGCTTCGGAGAGCTCGAAGCAGACAGAACGGTTTATTCATACGAATTTCGTAATTAATTTTTATTTTTTTGTAGAAGCATCCCTGAGAGACATGTTGCAAACATATTCTCTTTGAGAAACGAAGTCTTAAATTTGAGTAGATACATAAATAGCGCAATTCAAAAGAAGAAAGAAGCCTTCTGATCAGTAATCAAAAACACATATGTATATCCAAGTCTATGAGTTCATTGTTGAGTTATATATTCCATTCCTAAATGCTCAAAGTAATTCTACAAGATTGGCGACATAAAAATTTCTGGTTATTTCGAAGGTTGCTATACTAAGGGGATTCAGCTTACACCGAAGTTATTTTCTGCATATTATTTTCCATTTGACCAAGGGTCAGATCCACTTGATCAAATTGTATTGGTAAAGGGAGATCTTAAAAAATACCTGATAAGGAAAGAGTATTACCGACCGCAAAAACTATTTTTATTAAGATATCTATGATATGATCTTCCTCCATACCGTCAGCCACATGGCTCACTGAACTAGCTATGTGTCTGTGGATTGAAGCCACACATATATGTTTTGAAAACAAACGAGATCTGTGTCAAATAGAGCGGGATAAGAATATGTCTGGTAAACCACCCATAGGACGATTTTTGGACGAGTTCAAAAGTTTTTTCTCACAAGTGGAAGGACCGGAAGTTTTTCCTAATCTTCCTTTTGAAACGACTGCTATCTAAAATATATTTTGTAGATTTCAACCTACATGAGGACGAACTTTAGTTAAATCAACTTGAATTCTACAATCATGATGATGAGAATTTTTAGAAAGCTATAACACAAATATTTCAGATCGATCAATGACTTTTACTGAAAAAAGCCTACATTATAAAATATTACCTCATCTGAACGGAACTTAGAAGAACTTGATGAAGTAAGAGAAGGATTAGTCGGTTCTATTTGAAACTTTTCTGGAAAAGTACGTATATATGTGAAAACTTTATTATGTCTTAGTATCTCACCTATACATATACAAATATTTCGGCGGCAGCAAATCATTACAATACCAGCAAAACAGCAGTTATTTCTTATTTTCGGAATGCGGATGGTATCAGATTTATGTATTTTAGGAGTATAGGAAGTATTGATTGATATATGAGAACTGGGTACGTGTAGACCATTCCGCTAAGAAAAGGTGGGTAGGTTCTGAGACAATTATCACCCGTTTATTATTTAACGGTCAAAATCATGTGCAAATGCAGCGGAATACGCAAGCGACTATTACTCACGGGATCTCGAAAGGCTGTAGGACGGCATAAGACCTAAACAGTTCACACGCAGTCCGCAACATACTGGAGTCACAATCATATAAAATTGGCATTACTGTGAAAGATAAATGCAGGATATGTAAATAGGTTGATATGAGAGATCGACGTTAGAGCACTTCTCAGGCATGCAAATATAATCAAAGTAAGCCTTCATCTGGAATTACAAAGGTCAGGTCAGATTTCCGACGTAAAACGTATCAGCCAGCCAGTCAGCATGACCCAACATAACATTTTTATGCGCTTAACACAACCGTTAAATGAGTAAACCTGGCTATCCTACTATCTTTCAAGCCTGGTATAAAAGCAAACAAGCTCATCAACAACATTCACATTAGATGAAATACGACGATGCACGCATACGCAAATAACATGACATGTTCGGTTGTATATATTGGATGCATGTGTGTGAGCACTTGCTTTCCTGGAAACATAAACAGAGTAGATTCTAATTGCATCCTGCACGCTTCGAGGCGGCCAACCGAGCGACCAAACGACATGACAGGCAAACTTTCATTTCTCGTTGGTAATTTGAATTTTTGGCTCGTCAACAGCAGGCAGAAATGAAGGCAATAAAACTCCATAGTAACAAAAACAACAAAATAGCGCATACGAAAACAAAAAATGGAAAATACAGAACATTGGTTGCAAGACAACCACGAGCATCAGCATTGAAAAGGACGCACCGACAACGCCTGATGTATGCAATTCTGTCAACCAACCGCTCGAACACCGCCACCGCTGGCGCTGGAATTGCAGCTAGTTTTGAGTCTACTTTCAACAAGCAAGCAGATAAGCGTGCAAAAGCTTGCGGACAGTGCACTATTGTGGTCGCCATGACAGTTGGTAGGGGATTGTATGGGATGAGTGCTGGCTGCTCTGTACCTATGTATATATAGTGGTAAAGGTATGTATATTCTTGAAAAGCGCTTGAGTGTGCGTTGGTGCAGAAAATGAGAAAATGAACGTTTTCAACGATGAATGTTTTTTGTAAACAAAATGCCGAGCAAGGGTATGTTTCTTTGGCAAAGTTATTAACCACACACTATAGTACAACACTTTGCTTGGCTACGTGTGGCATGAACGCAAATTTTTGGAAGTAAAGTTTGGAAAAATTGCATCAAGAGCAACGGAAGCAAAAAACATGTTTTCCTCTTTGCCTGTTCGCTTTTCGATTGCTAAAATCAATATAAGTATTCGCCGTTGAAGACTTATGGCAGTATTTTTCCTTTGTGTCTTCTGCACTTTGTCTACCATAATTAGAGTGCCATCCTTTGAAAAAATGGGGAAATTCTGTGAAGCATTCGGCTAAACTCGGCATATCTTACAACTCTCTGAATTAAATTCTTTTCAACCATTTTTACCAAGCTCGCTGTGAGCTGAATGAGATTGAGTGAGGTTAGTAGTCATAAATAAGATGAAATTAAAAAAATTGCTAAACAGAGCAGAGACTGAAAAACACCGAACTTGAGTTTTTGGTCATTTATTCATATAAACTCCACTACTTTGCAGCGGTCCGTATAAAGACGGACTCACACGCGTATAAAATGGGTTCAACCATCAAAGGGCACGGAATGTGTTTTTTAATGATGTATTACGTCACAATTTGTCTACTTCAGCCTAAGTACATTCATGATCCCACATCGATAGCTACTACACCTTCTTTTCCTATATTGACCACAGAAAATAAACGAAAAGAATCTTTCAATGAATTGTGATTCATTGTTGCCCTCTGTAAAAGGATGTGGTTTCATTTCTGGGTATGCTAATACAATTTCAAGGCTAAACTCAATTCTTACTCTTTCCACCGTCCATGAAGTCTAGTTGGGGCGTTGGTCTTTAAGCAAGCAGATATCATAGCACATCGTACTACAATTCGAGAGTCCAGGGTTATAAACCTAGTCCGGGTTCGATGCCTGGTCCGACCAAAACACAAAACTATCGGAAATTAATTTTTCTAAACAAGGACGCCCTCAGTAGGAAGGCCAAGCCCTCCGACTATATTTTTTACATAATATAAATGCCCACGAAAAACGTATAGGCGGTTATGATTTTTGGGTATGCATCTTGTATGTACAGCCCATTAACAGAGAGGAGTTGATATCTTCGAAAAATTAAATGTTAACATCGCCGCGGCTTAAGAGATGAGATGTGCGGGACAAGGAGCGTCTTGTGTCAACAGCGAGCTAAAGCTATTTGGCTGCCACCGGATGGAGGAGTTTGTAATTAAATCGATCCAGTGTCCCAATATCAGATCGGCCTAAAATATTTCTAAAGGCGAATCACACACCTATTTATGTGCAGTTAAGAAGACGAGGAACGTTGATTTTCGAGAAACTACAATATCGACAGATAGCCAAACGGCTTTCTACTCGACTTTTACTACCTTACCCTAATTCATTAACTACTCGTTATAACAGAATTGTGGTACGGCATTGAACTGCATGCTCTCAGCGGTCAACAAAGCAATTGGTTTTGAACAAGTCTAAAGAACAGTTGGTACGATGAGAAATATCAAACTGCAATGGAGAGAAAAGGAAGAAGAATAAGAAGAAGAAAATGGAGAAGAACTGATAAGATACAATGGAATGCTAGGCGCGCCCTGCTCACAAAAAATGGGGACCATACAAACGTAGTAGTGCAAATGAAGACCTATCAAGTATATTGTGTAGCTTCAGATCTGGTATATATACAAATATTCTGACACAAAAGTATGTTAAAAGATCTTGTGTCTTCCCTAGATACCAAGTTGATGTTTGCTTATATCGAGCATGAGGAGTTGCGGAGTCCGCCTGTATTTTAATAACTAAAATCGACAAGAAAAAAAACAAGAAAACAG